GCAGGACCCCCTCTTTACCTTGTGTGGACTGCCACTCACACTACAAAGAAGGAGTAATAACGATACTCAGAAAGACAAATGGGAAAATTGTCTTGGGACGTAGTCCCGGAGTTTCCTAAGGCCTCCCAGGAGAATTAAGACAGAGTCAAAGGGCATCTACTCCCAACATCAGCAACACTCTCCACCTGGACACAGTCACGCCTGAAGCGTGGGTATATGTAGATCCTCAGATGACCTAAGATGACTACTGGAAGGCCTGGAACCATAAAGCTTGGTGTCCTGGAGTGAAAAACTATACTGATAACAGGCCTTCATTCCTGGCCCTGAGCAAGTTTGTGGATTTCCTCCAATGCATTTTCCTTCCCAGGCCATTGAGTAAATCAGCATCTGGTGTCTACTGTAACTATTGTTATGTGTGTTATTTATTGGACTTTAAAGGTTACATTTTCCTAGCCAGGTGTTGTGGCCCATGTGTCTAAACCCAGCACTCAGGAGGCAGAGGAAGGTGGATCTCTTCGAATTTAAGACCAGCCTGGTTTACAGAGTGAATTCCAGGATAATCTGGGCTACACAGTTAACCATGTCCAAAAAACAAAAGAAAAAAACCCAATGTGTGTGTGTGTGTGTTTGTTTGTGTGTGTGTGTGTGTGTGTGTGTCTTTGTGTGTGCACACACATGCATGGCTGTGCACATGCGATGGTATGTGTGTGGAGGCCAGAGGACAAGTGCTTTTACTCAGTGAACTAGCTACCCTGATACACAACTTTTTGGTTTTAGAGACAGTCTTGGTATGTAGCCATGAACGGACTTGGGCTTTTGTCAGTCCACCTGCTGCAGTATCTCGAGTGCTGGGATTTCAGGGGTGTGCTACCACACCTGGCTTTGCATTATCTTGAAGAAAAACAGCTTTAGGAACCTTGGTGATATTTTCACTGTTGCCCCTTAAACTGTGCTAGACTGGCCTCTGCATACCAGAACCACCTGGGCAGCTTTTAAACAATCCCACAGCCTAAAACCTAACTCAGAAGAACAAAAACAGGCTATATAGGCATGCCACCTGGAATAATATGTTTTCATCATGCCCGGACTGTACTTGTTGCACATTGGAATCATCTGGAAACCTATTTTAAACAACTGGGAGCTGTGTGTGGTGGTGTACTGCTTTAATCCCACAACCTGAGTTCCATCCCTAGGAGCCACCCATGTGGTAGAAGGAGAAAATTAGTTTCTGTTGCCTTCTGACCTACTCATACACATCCCCCATAATACTAGTATTTAGTAATTGAAAAAAAAGTCACCTTGTTGGTATAGGCCTAAATTGAGGCTACCCAGAGTCTGAAACAGGAAGGTCAAAGGGATAATGGGGTCTGCCAGGCAGAGTGGTACACATTTGTAATCCCAGAATTTAGGTGGCTGTGGGGGAACTTCTGTAAGTTTGAAGCTAGCCTGAACTGTATAACAAGACTCTGTCTCAAAGGAAATATATATATTCAAGGCTTGCCTGGGCTACAGAGTTGTTTGGCCTAATTTGATACTCTTTCTCAAAGTGAAAAAAGAAGTAGCTACACATCTCAAGGTTAGAGTGCTTGCACAGCACACGCCACAGGGACTAAGTTCAATCTCCAGTGATATGAAGGCAGGTGGGTAGATAGAGGGATAGATGATAGACAGATAGATGGAGACTGATGCCTGGCTTCCACTCCCAGACTTCTGGATGCGACTGGTATAGGCTATATCCTGAATATCAGGATTGAAAAAACCCCAGGATCCAATTTGTATCCAGGATTGAAAATAAATCCAATTAGCTAACCCTTGTCAATTTCTGCTTGAGTCCCTAAAATCTCCATGCCTTTCTCAATAAATATTTCCCTGTATGGTTTGCATTCTGTTTCTCCTGCTGAAGCCCTGCCTCCCTTTCACCTAGAATACAAAGTGAAATTTGTCCTCTGGTAAGGAGAGTATCTGCAATACTAGCTTGAGGACAAGATTCATTTCCCGCTCCAGCAGGCGGTTTGCCCCCAGCTGAAGTGCTGGTGAAGAAGGAGGAGTGGGAAACAGGGCTTCAAGGCTGGAGGAAGAACTCTCCAAGGCCCCAAGGGAACCCTTTTTCTCCCAGTTTGCAGAAAGTCACCGTGGCATGTGGACAAAGGAAGTATTAATAACTTTTGTGAAGACATACTTTGCGAAGCTTCATCAACCACAGCCAGGGCTGTCTGTTCTACAGATGGCCAGCTTCTGCATTTTGAATGACAGCTTCTGAAGCTGGTACAGTTCTCATCCCTAAAGCAGAAACCCCCAACTAGAGGGAAGAAATGGTCTTTAGGCCAGAGGTCAAAAGCTGCTACCCACGTATTGGCCATAGACCAAAAAAAAAAAAAAAAAAAAAAAAAAAAAAAAAAACAGTCATTGGGGGTGTGATCTCTTTTGGAGTGAAACTAAACTAAAGGAACATTACAGTGTCATCCCAAACAGGACTTTAGTGGTATGAACTAGCCATAGCTCTCCCACTCAGCCAGAGACTTTGGATTGATATTTATGTGTTGTGGGTGGTGTTAACTTCCTTCTTTGTAACTTGTGAAGCCAGAGGTAGGGCCAAGCTTTTCTTTTACTTCTAACAAATCTGTCTCTAAAGTAGGAGTCTTGGCTAAGTACTCCTATAGTCCTAGCATTCAGGAGGCTGAGGCAGGAGTTCAAGGTTAGCCTGGGCTACATAAAGAGCTCAAGACCAATCTGAACGACTGTGTAAAACCTAGCCTCAAAAATGAAAAAGAAGCCTGGTGGCGGTGGCACACACCTTTAATCCCAGCACTCAGGAGGCAGAGGCAGGTAGATCTCTGTGAGTTCGAGGCCAGCCTGGTCTACAGAAAGAGTTCTAGAACAGTCTCCAAAGCTACAGAGAAACCCTGTCTTGAAAAACAAACAGACTTTAATCAACCATTTAATGCTCAATCTATAAATGTTTGCTGTTTTGTTACAATCATCTTTAAAATAAAATATATGAGTATATGCAATAAAAAGTAAAACAAAACAAAAAAAATCCCAAGCAAAGAAAGTCCCTGCACCCCAAGAGAAGAGCACTAACAGGCCCACACAGCCACCACCGCACTGTGTTTTTGTCATCCTCCTTTGGGACCCCTGGAGTCCAGTCTGCCTGGAGGCAGCGACTTCCAGTGCTCAGTCTCATCTCGGTGACCTCTGCAGGGACACTCATGTGCCTAGGATGCAAGCCCCTGTACTAGTTTCCTAGGACACCCACAACAAACAACCAAAAAGTGTATGGCTTATATATCAGAAATACATTCTCTCGGCGTGAGTAGGGCTGCTCTCCCTCTGAGAGCCAAAGGGAGAGACTCCTTTCAGCCCCTTGCATCTTCTGATGGCTCCAGGCAGTTCTTGGCTCTGGCTTCATCGTTCTAATCTCAGCTTCTATCTTCACGTAGCCATCCTCTCCTCTTCGTACCTGTTCTCTGTGTATTGAGGACACATGTCACTCGATTTAGGACCCACCAAATAATCCAGAATGGCCTCAAGATTCTGCACTGTCCACATCTCCAAGAGACCTTTATTTCCAGTTTGGCCACCTTCACAGATTCTAGATCAGGGCTTCTACGTGTCTTTCAGGGGTAGGATTAATCCTGCCCCTCACTCCAAATATCAAAGAATGGAGGGTTGTACAAAATTCTACCTGTCCTTAAAGTTCAGGTGCTGCAGGTGTCACAGCACCCAGCTCCTCCACAGGCCTTCTCTTTCCTCCTCTTGTGCCCTGCTTTTCTCCCTCCTCACATCTGGATCTCCAGCATCAGACTGCCTGAGGAGGACCAGTCAGATAGGCTATCAGGTAGAGGTACCTGCACTCAGGCCAGAGACCTGAATTCAATCCCAGGACTCCTTAGGTGGCAGGAAAGAACTGACCTCCAGGAATTGTCCTCTGACCTCTCTCTACAGGCACTGTGGCATGTATATGGCTGCACTAAGACAGGTATACACATGTACATATGCATGTGCACACACACACACACACACACACACACACACACACACACGCACACACACACACGCATACACACACACACACAAGAAACCCATAACAATGATTTTATTTACAGAGTTAGCTTTAAAAAAAGTTAATTTCTGTCCATTCTGTGTCGGCCCCCACTGTCACTGTTACCAACAAATCTGGCTTCCTGGGATCATGTCTAGATATGTGTAGTTTAAATTGTATTCCTGGGAGATTTTTAAAAAATATATAATTTTAGGTTTTTATTTTTGTTTTGTTATGTGTTTTTCCTGTGTGTGTGTGCGTGCATGTGTGTGTGCTTTGTGTGTGTGTGTGCTTTGTGTGTGTGTGTGCTTTGTGTGTGTGTGTGTGTGTGTGTGTGCCTAGTGCCCACAGGAACCAGAAGAGGCCGTTGGACACCTTGGAACTGTAGTTATGAATGGTTATGAGCCACCACGTGATTGCTGGAAGCTGAATCTTGGTCTTCTGCATGAATAACAACTGCTCTTGACTGCTGAGCTATCTTTCCAGGAGATTCTAAAATATATGAAGTGCCACCTAACCCTTTGCCACATATCCTTTCTGTATCTCTAACATCTTACCTTGCATTAAGCCGATGGGTGGCAGGATTTAAGTATGAGGGCTATAAAGTCAGAGCACTGGAACTCTGCTGCCCGCTAAATCTACCCTGTCACGCACTTGCAATGTGACTAAACCTTTCCTGAAGTCACTCCATCTGCTTCCTCAGGGAAGCAGGGATCACTAGAGTACCTGCTTCCTACGGCTATGCTGAGAAATACACCAAATAAAACATTTAAATGGTTTACAAGAGGGTCTGGCTTATGGTACAATCCCCAAATTTTCAGCTGACATGCAAGAGGCTAATTTGATCACTGTACTATTGGACCCTCCCTCCCAGGAGCTTTACTCTGATCTTCCTGCCATCAGTGGTGGTTAACATTGATACAATCTTTTTTTTTTTCCTTCTCCATGCTGTGCTAAGTTCTGTACTGCTGGCCCTCCAAACTCTGGTTCCGTATCTGTGGACTCAGCCCACCATGGATGGTAAGTAAATACGTATGTGTAAGAGCAGTTGTGTCTATCCTGGACATAAACATCTGTTCTTTCCCTTTGTTGTTCTCCAAACAAAACAGTATAACAAGTATTTATTAAACATTTACATTCTATCAAGTAGTACAACTAATCTAGAGATGACCTAAATTATAAAGGAAGATGCATTTTGTTCTGTGCAAATACTGTACCATTTTAGATAATGGACTTGACCATCCTCAATTTGATAGCCAATAGGGTCTTAGTAATCTTTCACCTAATGGATAAGGAGACAGAGAGTCAGACAGTGTGATGGATAAACTTGGTTGTCAACTAGATACACCTGGAAAGAGGAAACCTCAACTGAAGAATTGCCTCCATCAGACTGGCCTGTGGGCAAATTTGCGGGACAGGGATTTCTCTACATTGTTAATTGATGTAGGAGGGTCCATCCCACTGTGGGAAGTGCCATCTCTGAGCAGGAGGGCCTGATAGGTAGCTGGCCTTAGCCTAAGAGTAAGCCAGTAAGCAGCAGTCCTCTGTGGCATCTGCTTCTGGTTCCAACCTTGAGTTCCTGTCTTGGCTTCTCTTCATGATGGACTACAAACTGTAAGATGAAATAAACCCTTTCTTCCCCAAGTCTGCTTTTGGTCATGGTGTTTGGCACAGCAACAGAAAGCAAACAGGAACTAAAACAGATGGGTTGGACACGCTGCTCAAGTCTACAGCCAGTGGACCTGGAAGTGAGAATAAGTGTTGGTTTGGGTCCCACCTCTGACAATACCCTGTTATTCTTTGTCATCCCAAAGGCTTTCTTTGCCCTTTTCTTCTGGCCCAGTCAGCTCTGAATCGTAAACCTCACACTGACACATAGTTTTCTTACAATAGTTCATCTCTTGTGATCTCCAAGGCCGTGCTTTTCCATCACCCTCTTGGTCTGCTCCCTCCAGGGAAAAGTCCTCTTTTCAGAGGTGTTGAACCTGACAATACTTCTCCATTTTCCTGTGGCATGTACCTTCCTCCAAATCGAATTTCCACCTTCAACACCTCTGTACAGAGGCCCCTTACACCAGCACTCCAGCTGGTCTCTCCCATGCCCAGGTACACTCTTGTGTAGTGAGAAGTCGAGGCTTTATTTCCCCTCTCTACAGCTCCTCTGGGAAGAATCCACAGACCTAGGTGCCAACAGTAGCCAAACCACCCGCCTTCTGTTACATCCAAGGTCTTTTGACCACCTCTGGCCTGTCCTTCCTCCCGGTCAGGACATTTCTCAAACAGACCCCCTCTGTTGCTCAGTGCTCATTTTTTTTCTCACTGGCTCAGGGCATAGGGCTTACCACCAGGCACACAGGCCTTATCTCTGCACAAATACATCCTTTTTCTCCAGGACTGGTTCTCACCCAATCAGTAATCAGAGTAAACTTCCTTTGACAATTTACTGAACAAACATTTACTGTGTAACTGCTCTAGGTAGGGTTCTGGGTAAGCCTATAAGGAGACTAAACCCAGTCTATGCCCTGAGGTGTCTCACTCTGGTAGACAGGAAGCACAGACATGGATATGTGTATGGTGCTCTATGGTGGTCCACCCACCTTTCCCTAACCTCAGTTCTGCTCTTTGCTCACTTTCTTATATTGGTGCAAGCTGGTTACCCTTTCAGACCCTGAATTTCCTTAGCTGTGCTTGGGAATGATACTGTGTAAGTTTGTTGTTGAGAATTAACAAAGATAAGGCGCATGAAGGGTGTGGCAGGGCACCTAAGATAGGGACACTAGATCCAGGAGCCAAGAACCGGTGCCACCGTTTAGATATAAACCAAGAAGTTCCCACCTGCTGGAGGGCCAGCCAACCAGGCAGTCAACTGAATGTGTTAAAAAGCAATGTGTTTGTCTGTGTTTGGGGTAAGGTGGAGCCCACGACTGAGGCAATGAAACATTACCCCTTAGTTAACCAGTGTGAGTGGGTGGTGGCAAGATTAGCTGCAAAGTGTCTGTACAAGACAAGAAAACATTTTAGGATAAGACTGTTTCCCAGGTAAATGCTAACTCTGTGGGTAGTCTATCAAGGAGAGACCACTGCAGGCCTGGAGTAGCTGGGTAACTTCTCACTGTTGAGGAGTCAGCATGCAAAATCACAGCACCCCAAGCAAAGCCATCATCAACACTTGAAATCACAAAGTGAAAACAATTTCTTTCCTCTGCCCCTCCAGCACAATAAGCAACCAAGGTGGCCTACTTCTAAGCATCCGTGTTTGGTTTTTCCTTCATTCTCTGGCCTGGATTTGCAGGGAACATGGGAAGGAAGAGGAGAGATGGGACTAGAAAAGTCTGGATGGTTGAGCCTCGTGGCACAGGCCTATAATCCCAGTTTCTCTGCAGGCTGAAGCAGGAGGGACACAAGTTCAAGTCCTGCTCGCGCTATAGAGCAAGCTCGAATTCAACTTGAACTTGTCCTTGTCAGTGAGACCTTGTCCTGAAATAAAAAGCTAGAGGAACTCATGAGTGTCCACCTCTGTTGCCGAATATTTGTTTACACTGTAAAGATGTACCTCTGCCTAAGGCACCTTCTGATTGGTTTAATAAAGAGCTACATGACCAATAGCTAGGCAGGAGAGAATAGGAGGGACTTCTGGGCAGAGAGAGAGAAACTGGGAGGAGGAATCTAGGCATGAGATTTTACCAGCAGATTTGGAGCAAGTTTGATGTGCCATACTAAGAAGAGGTAACTGAGCCACATGGCTGAACATAGATTTTTAAATATGGGTTAATTAAGTTATAAGAGCTAGATAGGAGTAAGGCCAAGCTTTCAAAATTAACAATAAGTCTCCAGGTCATTATTTGCAGGCTGGCAGATCAAAGATAGTCTGAGAAGAAAGCTTGCTACCCTCCTTGGGAATTCATAAAAAGTTCTTGGTGGTGGTGGTGGGTGTGTGAGTGTGTGTCATTTTCTTCAATGTAGCCACTGGTAGGGTAGCCACACTTCTGTAAAAATTTAATATGCAGCTGCCCTGGTTAGGGTTCTGCTTAGGCTATGAACAACCCTAGGTAGGGTTTTGCCTATGATTCTGTAAACAGCCCTAATGAAACTCACTGGATTACCGAAAAACAAACAAAACAAAATAACACTCAAAATAACACAAACAAAAAAGATATGAAGATAAGAGAGGGATTAAATGGGAAGAGTATTATCTGGAATGAGAGAGTCACATTGTACGTGAATATGACCAAAATATATACATGTATAAAAATGTAAGTTAGCCCAATGTTGTATATAATTAATGTCTACTAATAAAAAAATTCTTTAAAAAAGATGGCTGCGGGTATTATTTAGTGGTAGAGCACTTAATTGCCCCAGGTTTCAATCCTCAGTACCATGGGGAGAAGAGGCACTAGGGGACACAAGGAGAGATCGGAATTGGAGAGCTATGCCAGCTGTCATCTGACTTCACATGGAAAAGGATGCTAACTATCCCACTATTGGAGGAATATTCTAGGGAAGGACACCAGAAAGGCATGAGGTGTGGCCATGACCATGAGCTTTGGTGTGTGGCAGACCTTGATTCTCATCAGGCCTTCAGTACAGGCTGGCCATGTGATCTTGGGGAAGTTACTTTATCTTTTTCAAAAAATGTTTATTATGAAAATTTTAAATATGCTGTATTTCAATCATGTTTCCCCACTCCCTCTACTCATTCCAGATCCTTCCTGCCTCCTTACTCATACAAATTTATGTTTTTTTCTCTCTCTCTTGAAAGGAAGGAAGGAAGAAAGGGAGGGAGGGAAGGAAGGAGGGAGAGAGAGGGGAAGGAGAAAGAAAGGAAGAAAGAAAGAAAGGAAGAAAGGGAAATTCAAAACAAACAAACAAAAAACAAACGGTAAGACAAAAAAAAAAAAAAGCCAAAACAAAACAAAAGCACACAAAAACCATGAAGTCTCTTGGAAATGAGGCCTGCCCTGGAGTGTGGTTGCTATACTCAGTGACACCCAGCAGGTGTCAATTGCAAACAGCTTCTTGGTTAGGGACCTTTGTATCCACTTCCTCTTCTCAGTGTTGGGATCTTGTCCGTCTGACCTGTGCAGGTCTTGTGCATACTGCCAGTTTCTGCGAATTCATATGTGTATCAGGCCTGTTGTGTCTGGAAGACAATTTTTCCTTGGAGTCATCGCCACCTCTGGCTCTCACAATTTTGCCACCTTCTCTTCCAAATAGATCCCTGAGCCCTGGGGAGAGGGGTTTGATGAAGACACCCCATTTAGAACTACTTCAAGGTCTCTCACTCTCTGAACATTGTCAATTGTGGGTCTCTGTTAATTTCTATCTACTGCAAGAAGAAGATCAGGGCTGTGTGATGCTCTGTTCGATGGGTATAGCAATAAGTCATTAGTAGTCTTTTTATTTCTATGTGTCTTAGCAGAATAATAAAATTAGGTTTCCCCTAGGTCCATGACCTATCCAGTCTCAGATTCTTGGCCACATTAGCAGTGTTAGGTATGGGTTCCATCTCATGGAGTGGACCTTAAATCCAATCAGAAAGTGGTTGGTAACTTCCATTAACATTAATACTTTTATCTTTTTTTACCCTCAATTTCTTCAGTCCAAATGAGGATAAACTTCTTAGAATCTGTAAAGACTATTAATTGCACAACACAATATAGACAGTGATGAAGTTCCTTTCCTCCCTTTTGAACTTCTAGGAATGCCCTAGAAATATAGAATTGACTGTATTTAGTGTCTAGCTCTGTCCCTGCCAACCCATGGTTAAATTAGGATGAAACTATCTATGCTTAAAATTCTAAGTTTCTCTGGTAAATGCAAGTGGACTTGGGCATATCAGTTCACTGTCATGGCTTTTGGAAGGCTATACTCAGTGGCTCCTGGTGCAAAAACCTGTTAGACCAATAGGCAGAGAGATGAGGGGAGGCCCAGCGTCCTTCTTTCATTGCCCAGGGTGCTCAGATCTGGGTTCTGTCCATCATTCCCTTTTCCTTTGGTGATGGTAGTGAGACAGGTGACTT